GCATTTTAATAGAAAATAAAGACAATGAAAAATGTGACTATTTGTGAAAATGGCTAAAAATAGTTGGCAACATGAAAAGAAATTCAGAGAAAAAGTTCAATTTAAATTTTAAAATCTACCAAAATACATGAAGAGAAATCCATCTGGTCCAGAAATTTGTAAAATGATTTTTAGGAAGATGAACAATTCTCTATTTTTTTTTCTTTTCTTTAAATTTAGATTTCAAATTATGCTCCAGAAGTTGGAGTCAGAAATATGCTAATTTGAAATTGAAACAAAGAAATAACTTTTTTATGAGATTTAAAGACTAGATAGGAAAGGCAACACTTTAGGCTGAAAGACTTAACCAATCGGTTATTAAGATTTAACAGTTAAGTTAAATAGAAATCCAAGCATTAGTCATTAAGAGTTCCTCAGAACCACTGCTTGTGGATTCTACATTTTGAATAAGTATAGAGCATAACCAACAAACTCAAGAGGTGGCTGTCTGATAAGTACTCCATTCTGTTCTAATAATAAAGTCTCTCAATTTATTGGTTGAAACATTGTCACTTTCAATAAGTATTTACATTACCACACAGACAAGGATCAAGAATGATTTGGATCTTCTGCAAACTCTTCCTTGTGCTCACTGCTTTTTAAGTGGCAAACTCTTTTGGAATAATGTGTAGCTCACTAGAGTGAAACAGACAAAACAAGTAAGCTGTATTTTTCCTTTTTTTTCTGTGACCATATGTAGCATGGATTGTCTTACAGGATTGAAAGGCACCAACTGCCCATTCCTTGGCTATAGGCAAAGAGAAATCCTTGACCTTACTCAATATGAGAGAGATTTATAACTTTCCGAATGATTTTTGGATGAAGTGAATCAAAACAGCTTCAATCACAACTTGAACTCAGTTTACCAATTCCATTTTTCTTGCTGTTAACCATTATGCCACACTGCACCGCCATATTTTCTCCAAAATACGACAGAAAAAAAAAAATTTTGGCTTCTTATGTGTTTATTTTTATTTTTTTTATCAGTTAGGTTGAGTATCAACACAACAGGATCAGCCCCACTAGATACATAGATGGCTTGATAGTTAACATGGAAAATGGAATCAGTAAGCAGATTGATTGATTTTTATGTCTTATCAACCCATTCCAGGTTATTTAAAGCTAGAAAATATTTTTAGATTGTAAGAATATTTTTTTTTGTGATAATAATGGTTTAGTGATACAATTACTAATTAACCTATAGGGGGGAGATAGAAGAGATTGATTCATACCTTTCCCAAGAGTAGTTGCACCTAAGTGAATATACCAAACCCATTGGGAATTGGAACTCTGCTCTCCGAATAACAATTCCGAACCATTATCCATTACATCACCCACACATCCATGCTTACAGCGCCTGGTATTCCTTCAGTAAGCGGAGACAATTTGTATTTGTCCTAACACTTTTACAAAAGGCATGAATCCATCTATTTACCCCTCCCCTTTAGTTATAAGTAGCAGGGAGCAGACTGGATCCTCTAACTTTGATCGGGCAACTTTGAATTCAAAATCTCAAAGGTTGGGTGAGTAACTACTACATTTACCCCCCCCCCCCCAGTGCACAAAATTCATTCTTGTCACATTTCAAATCTCATGATCTCCAGTATTTCCAATAATTCATGAATAATATATATATATATATATATATATATATATATATATATATATATGTATGTATTATGCCTTTAAATTCCTTGAGGAACATAAGGCTACAAGATATCATTGCAGTTTCTATAACAAGCCAGTGAGTAGGTTGTTAGCCTACTGCACAACCCCCAATTTGGAGAATCAGGTTTTGAACTCAGAGTTGTTCTTCTCCTAGACTAGTTGGCATCCAAAGCAAAAGAACCTGATCTCTCCTGCTATTTACCCATAGCTGGGGGAGAAGAAGAGGATTCATACCTTTCCCAAGGGCATTAGCATCTAAGTGAACGTAATGGATTCGACTGGAATTTGAACTTGGCTCTCTGATTCCTCAATCCAAGCCGCTACCTATTACTCCACTGTGTCTCTCCCCAATAATATGCAGAAAGGAAAAAAAAAAAAAAAAAAATTGGCTGTTTGATTTGTCTGGCACAAAGCCAGAAAATGACTCAGATTCAAATGTAAAACAGAAAGAACAAGAGTTCAAATCTCACTGGAAGTAATTTCTTTGCCTACCAAATTATTTATGGAATTTCCTTTTCATAAGCCAAATATGCTGAAAAGTCTTTTGATGAGAACTACCATCATCGTATCTGGGTATGAAATAGAAAAGTCAAAATGGAAAAATATAAATTCCAATTGTCTTTGGCTGGAATGATAAGCACATTGTTATGAAATGAGAATGAACAAGGCATAGGGAATGGCTTGGGTCACAGATTTTCAGCATAACAAAGAAAAACCATAGAAAGAGAAAGAAAAAAAAACAAACTAAAATTATTTAAAGATTGCTTGTTAGGAATGATTGACTTTTTTTGTTTTGCTAGTAAACTTCTAACATTTAACTTGGCTCATCATATGACAACGCTATTTAATTGGTTTCATTAAAAAAAAAAAAAATTTTTTTTCTTCCTTAATGAATCATACTAAATTGACTTTCCATTGATCACTAATTTCACAACCTGTTCTGCTACATTAACTTTTAAAATCAGAATCAGAATCTATCTAAAATAAAGCAAAAAGAGAATTGCAGCTATTGTGGATGAAAGCACGCCAATTTTGGCAATTTGATTTACAACTTACAAAAAGAAAGCAAAATAGAACATAAGAAATTTTCATAAAGAAAGAAAAACAATTAAAACATAATAATCTTAATTTATCAGTAATGTTTGCCTTAATTCCCAATCAATAAACCTTTTTTCTTTAAATTTTCAATTCACAACATACAGATTGACTGCAGAAAGTTGTTAAAACAAATTTTTATTAAAAATTTACAAAATTTGGTGTTTAATCATTAATTTTTTTCCCTATGAACAGAAATATTTTGTATAGGTAATGGCTAAATGTAAAAGTTCTGGAGTATGAGTAAAGCCAGTGAGCAGAAATAAGAAAACCAAAGTCTTGCCTACCAGGTTTAGAAACAAATGACAATAAAATACAACTGTAATGACTATTACTGTTGTTTCCTTTTCCTACCAAAATAACAAGACTTTATGAATTCATTGTATATATGTGATCATTAGAGTGAAGGGGTTTTATATAATATATATATATATATATATATATATATATATATATATATATATATATATAAATAAATAAAAGGCTCAAACACTAATATTCCATGGTTATAATTTATTACATTGAATTGTAATCCTGATCCAACTCATCAGACTTACAAATTCCAAAGTTTAATTTGTAGGTCAGATGATTTGGATCATGATTACAATTCCAATGTAATAAATTATAACCATAGGAAATTAGTGTTTGAGCCTTTTATATTATATTCTTACTCTATCCTGGACATTGAGTTCTGATTCTATCCTCTTGGAAATATATGTATATATCACTGATATTTTATATATATATATATATAAAAATAAATAAACCCTACTTAAGATATTATGGATCACATGAACAGCTAAATTTCAATATCATTTGTAAATGGTGTTCCAATAACTTGGACAGATTTTAAATGTGAATTAAATTTAAATGTCTAATGATTATTTTTTTTTTTTTCTTTCAGATTTAACAACTTACGTCTTTGGTAATTTCAACCATGGAAAGATTAACAATCAAATGTGTTAAAGTTATTGAAGCCTATTACGAAAATGGACCTTCAAACAGAAATTCATTTCGTGTACTTTGCGATGTTTTGGTTGACATAATCAACCAAACAAGAGTGCAATTGGAAACGATGTAACATTGTTGTGGAGAGGTTCAATTCCTGTGCGTGATGACACATAGAGGTGTCTGGATTTTTGGCCACATTATGGACACTACTGCAATATTTTCAGCTGAACAGCATAAACAAGCACACAATGGGGTTTTCACATCTGCTACCGACCCAGTTTGTTTGAATTTACAAACAATTTTTCCAATTGCACTCTTGAAACTTTAAAAAATCATTAGATGCTTAAACTTAATTCACATTTAATATCAGTCCAAGTTATTGGAACACCCTTTTTAATTCCAGGTACTTGAAAGACCAATGTTTTCTTTTCTGCCAACATTATCATTATTGTTGATTCAGCTAAAATAACAAGTGTCACAATAAGCATTCTACATAAATTATTTCTTGTTGATTAAAGTTTCCTTTTCTTATTCAACCCTCTTTAAGGGTGTGAATGTGGGGGGTGGGGTGAGAAAAGTTACTTCTCTCCAACAATTCTAATGGCAATTAATAGTTTCACTTACTGTATTTCTGTTGCATTTTATTTACTCCTCATCAGGGCACAAATATATGCAACTGGCTAGCAAACCAAATCTAATCAACTCCATTGAACTTTTGATATTGAAAAATTAGGCAGTAAAGAAAAGATGTCAGATTTTACAAGTCCCTGCCACATTTACATGGTATAAAACTTTTTATTTTGCTATCACAAATTTCAATCTGTCAGTTTCAAGCTGCTCCAAAATGTTGATATTTTTATTTTTATATTTCCTTGGAATCCTTTTCATCTCATGAAAAAGTTCTTGTCAGATTTTAGTCGCTCGCCGAGGAGCAGAAAATAAATGAATCAAATAATTATTACGTGAGAGTAAAGGAATAAAAAGAAAGATGTTTGGGGATAAAAAAAAAAAAAAAAAAAAAAACAGCAGCAGCAAAGGAAAAATCTTAAAAGGAAAAGTTAATCTGACTGAAATTCCATTTTCCCACTAATCAATAATATGTTATACTACTGAAAAATCATTTTTGTTTTTTTTCATTGTTTAACAAATTGGTGTGTTGATTTCAGTCCTTCATTTTTCAAAAGCTGATTTTACATAGAAACAAAATGTCTGCTTTGATTGAAAGGATTGTTTTTTGGACAAACAAATCAAAGTTGGTAATGTTTATGGATGGCATCAATCAATTCCTGTTTCTTTGTGCCAATTACTTTCACATCATTCTCTTTCATCAGTTGTTTCAAGGCAGCAACTTTCATGCCTTTCAGCTGGAAAATAAAATAAAAATCCTTTCAAAAAGTGCACATATTGTATACATGCAGATATCTGATGTATTTAAGTTATCAAATCTTATGGTCACAGGAATTAAAAAAAATTGCAATAAATAATGAAAAATAAGTCACAAAAAATGACCCCCAAATTCCATAATAAAAGGAGTTCACATAAGAACATCAAATTATTGAAGCAGCATCAAGAAGAAACACCACTTGCCCATATACAACTCTGGCGTAGTAATGGTTAAAGCAAAATGAATATGGTCATCTGTAGGTACCAGATGTGAGCAACTACAAATGAGAATAGACTAATAAAGAAAAAACCAGATCTGAATGACCACAACTTCTACAGATGAGAAATTCTAACTCTAAATAATTACTAAAAACACAATGTGCACCAAGTGTGAATATTGCTGCCTGATCATACATAGATATATATCATCACAACCAGATGTAGAACAACCATTCTAATGAATTAATCATGAGGTTTCAATGTTAATACCAGATGCATTCCAGATGTAAACTGTCAGTTCCAGATGTGCTTCAGACAAATAGCCAACATCAGATTGACAGACTCTAGAAATGCTGGTTTAAAAAACCACACTGCCTATACAACATTTGATATCAAATTATCAAACTACCCATTTGATATATTTAATATCTATGATTAAAAAATCTTTACTTATCTAAAGATTACAGCATAAAAAATAATTTGGAACAAGCATTTCAAGCATTATCTTGCAGTTACTTTTACCTTTGAATTATCAGGTCATCCCATAAGTTCTGTCCGAATTGTACCTTTTTTTAAAATGAACGAAATTTAAAGAGTATTTTATGTCTAATGGAGCTGAACATTATTTTTATGTTTAGATGCATTTAAACTGATCAAATTTTATTTCAGAGAACAATAAAATTAAATTTTGTTTGATTAAAACCCTGCTAACATGGAAGTACCCAAGAATCATTTGAGGCACATAATGCTTTATGAGTTCAAGAAAGGAAACTCAGCAGCTGAAGTGGCTAGAAACATTTACTCAGTTTATGGAGAGGAATATGTGAATGAAAGAACTTGCAGAAGATGGTTTGCAAAATTCAGAGGTGGAGATTTCACCCTTGAAGATGAAGATCGAACCGGACGTCCAGTTCAGTTTGATGAAAAGCTTCTTGAAGCAGCCCTTGAAGAAAATCCTGCTTTATCAGTTGAGGAATTGGCAGTGGTTCTCAGTTCAAACCATATAACTGTTCATCGTCATCTTCAACAACTTGGAAAAGTTCCTAAACTTGGAAAATGGGTGCCTCAGGAATTGTCTGAAAACAACCTCAAATCCCGAGTTGACATCTGCTCTTCTCTCCATTCTCGCCAACTTGTTTCAACTTTTTTGGATAGACTTGTGACTGGTGACGAAAAATGAATCTTTTATCGAAATGTTAAGTGTCGTAGACAGTGGCTTGGTAAAGGGGAAAGACCCCAGCCACAGCCGAGAAGGGAACTTCATGGGCAAAAGGTTCTTCTTTCTATTTGGTGGGATCGCCAAGGAATAATCTACTTTGAATTCTTACCACCTAATGCAACAATTAATGCTCAAATATACTGTCAGCAATTAGAGCATTTGAACCAAGCTTTGAGGAAAAAAAGACCTGCTCTAGTGAATCGAGGTGATATTTCATCAGGACAATGCGCGACTCCACACAGCAAGAATCACGCCACAAAAGATCGAAGAACTTGGTTGGGAGAAAATTCCTCATCCACCTTATTCTCCCGATCTTGCTCCTTCAGACTACCATTTGTTTCGTAGCTTACAGAATCATTTGGAAGAAACAGCTTTGTAACCACAGGAAGAGGTTAAAACTGACATTTGTGAGTTCTTGAATCAAAGCCAAAAGAATTTTACAGTAATGGCATTAGTAAGCTTGTTAATAGATGGAAGGAAGTCATAGATAATCAGGGAAAATACATTGTTGATTGAATCTGTAATTAAATGTAACATTTGGTCACTTGTTTTCTTTATTCAAAATTCGGACAGAACTTATGGGATGACCTGATAAAATGGCCTGTTAAAAACAATACTATTCCTTCTCCATCAGCTGCATTTAATGGAATTTGCTATCTAACTGGTCAGCTTGTTGTTTGTGCTGATTGAGGTGTCTTTAAAATTTTTGTTTCTTGTAAGAAAAGTCGGAGAGTAATTGACCACTTCTTTATATTCTGATAGGGGATGTTTGAACTTATACTGTTAAAACTTTATAGTTAATATCATACTGTCCATTCCATAAATAACCCCACCACTCCTCATTTGATATATAGGTTAAGAGATTGGTGGGGGGTGAAATACAAATGGGAAGAGGAATGATTGTGTTGACAAGATCAGACAGACAGACTCGTCATCACATATCTATCCAACAGTGTCCATAGTCAACAAAAAAAAAAAAAAAACCATAACACTGTATGAACAAGTATAAACATTGCTCCTTATAGTTTTTACCATGTGACAACGCAAGTCATAAAGTTCAAATTTAATTGCTAACTATATCTTAATTTATAAAGATACCATCATTACATATACTGGAATCACATATTAGGTTAAATGTTTACCCCAAATATCTCAGCCTATGTTCCGGGATTCAATCTTGTAAACTTTTTTAGTTTTAGGAATAGATAGGTTCACCTATAGTCGAGTTCACATCCTCCCCCATCTTTGGAACAGAAGTAGAGGTTTATACCTTGATTTCTGTTTAGGATTAGGTTTCTGGTTCCTTCTAAAGTCTACCTCAACTCTATACTTTTAATGTCTGCCCGAACTCTGAAATTTTATTTACTAATTGTTTTTTTTTTCTTTCTGCAACAGGAGTAGATAGGTTCACCTATTGTCCGGTTCACACTCCTCCCCTGTTTTTTGAATAGGAGTAGAGGTTTATCCCTTGTTTCTTGTTTCATATTGAGTCTCTCGTTCCTTTTGAAATTTTTTCATTCTCTTTCACTCACAGTAACCACTTGTATCTTGGGGCATTATCACCTTGCTTGGGATGAATTAAGAAAAAAGAAAAAATGTACATTGATGTTATCATAATAAAATTGGCACAAACTAACTTGGTAAAATTTTCAAGATATATTTATACTAATATAATAAATGTACCAATTTCCACATATGTTTTATTTATAAATATTTACAATAACTCATTTGGTCATGTGAGATTTTAAGATTTAACTTGTAGGTTGTTCATCATATTGGAACTAAATATATACATAATTGTATAGCTATAGATATTTTTTCTTTTACATTTATAAAGATCTGCAATGTATCCTAAGAAATAACTTCTAAAGAGACTCAATATATTGTAAATTATTGAGTGATATGAACACAATGCTGGAAATTGAAAATTTTGGTTAAGAAAAAATTGTTAAAGAATGTTAAAAAAAAGATTTGAGAAAATCCTTTAAGGGTAATAAAACTTTATGGGTAATAAAAAAAAGAAAAATGGACTGGCCAACAAGAAAGTATTTAAAAGAAGCTGGTATTGCAATTCTAAAGAGAGAGAAAAGATGCAGAATATTAAGGACACTGGCTAAAGACATGAAAACAATCAAACTACCACCTTTAAGTTAACATCACAAAGGATGAAGAAATACAGGAAAATTGATTTCTTCAAAGTAATTTTTAGTGCTATGTTTGATAATGCTGGATAGACTTGATGGTTGGGGTCATTTACGAAAATAATCAACCAACAAGATTTAGATGACAATTGGGTAGGGTAGGGGAATCATTTTAGGGGTTAGTAGTGTAGGCAGGAAAGTTTTAGGTCCCTTCAAAATTGATGATGGTATTAAAATAAATGCAGAGAAATATTTGCAAGTTATTGTACAAGACTTTTTGAATGTCACAATTGAAAAGCTTTAAGCTAATGAGCCCATTCATGAAAGACAATGCTCTTTCACATTCTGCAATGCTTACAATTGCACAACTTGCCAGATAAATCTCAGACAGTGAATTAACAGAATATCCCCAAGTCTCTTAAGATATTTTAATCCAACAGAAAATTTGCAGTTTGTCATTAAAATAGGTGTATATAAGAATGGAAAACAATATTCAAGTAAAGAAGTTCTCTGGGAAGCAACAAAAACTACTGAAATTAATAGATGACAAACTAATGAAGGCTATTATAGAACGTCAAGAAGCCAATACTAATATAAAAAATGATTTATACAGCTATATGGGATACTGTTTTAATCAAATGTTTTTTATATGTATCTTTTAGATTCATGTTGCACTTTGCATAATAAAATATGACACTGCTAAAACAAGTTATTGGGTTTCTGGTTCCTTTTAAATTCTACTTCAACCTTATACTCCTAACATCTCTGGTTGAACTCTGAAATTTTATTTGCTAATTAAATCTTGACCTCTTCAAGTATAGAATTAGCTGTCTTTCCTGTTATCTTGCTGTATTTTATGCTAATACAACTCCATACAGTAACCTTCTACGTTGAGTGGCCCTTGGGCCTTGCATTGGGTGAACGTTAGTTTAAAAAAAAAAAAAAAAAAAAAAAAAAAAAGAGCTGTAATTCACATGGTTTGTGAATCAAATAAATATTAACATATCCTTAATATTTTATCAATATCAGTTCTTTAATATTAATTTTATTGTGAAAAACATTGATTTGCATAATAAAATCTGACAAAGTAACAGTAGCTTGATTTTTGGGTTTTGGTTAAAACTGTCATTCTGTTTAAGAAGAAAAAGGAGGCAAATATGAAATATAATTTAAATTATTTGAACTTTATTGTATGATTATGATGTCAGTTTGAATAATTCAAGGCTAAATTCTAAGACCATCAAAGTGCATACATACCTTATCATTTTCAGCTAATGTCTTTAAATTTTCAAGGCAAGGGACTTTATTTTTAATTTCATGACCATCTGTTCTCTGAAACATAATTATTTTCTTTTATTCAAATGAGTAGAAATAGCAAATTTTGAAATAACTAATAGGTTAATGAAAATATTATCAATGTCATTTTGTTTCTGACAAACAGTAGTGAGAAAATTTTATAAATATTTGAAGTTTGTGTAGTTCTTTGGTCGGTAATCAGTCAAGTGTCGTATATGATGACAAAATGACAGCTAATAAAATAGATTTCAATTATGAACTTGCAGAAAGGATCATCAATCAGTTGGTTTTCACTTAACACTGGAAAAAGATGAGAGAGAGTAAGTGATGGTAATAAATAGCTTTATTAGGGAGCAAAAATTATTTTCTATATTTGGTGGGATTAAAAAGGGATTTCTTTATTATGAGTTGCTGAAACCTAGACAAACTTACTGCACAACACTAGGAGGAGGAGGAATGAACTTGTATGAATAATGCATTAGAAGGAAAAGACAAAACAAAAACACACTCCACTTTTCTATGTCCAGAAATCAAATCAATGGTTTTGCTTCATGACAATACTTATCCTCACATTGCAAATGTGAAGATATAAATGGGATGGGATGTTGTTCTGCATTTCAAGTAATTAAATACAAAATTAAGGTAATATATCATGATATTGGCTTTAGTCTTTTTAGGTTTATGGTTCAAATTTTACTGGTGTAATGTTTTTTTCTCCTCTTCCTATTCAGAATTTCTTATAAAGTTTGATCCTGAATAAGAACATACAAATCAAAAACTACACTAAATTTTAATTATGAACAAATTTTAAATGTTTAGTTTGGTTTGGTTTACCAGCATATCAACCCTCGTGGGTCATTTAATGCTGAAAAGATTTTTCAATTGATTATATCTTAGGAAGTTTTCATGAAATATAATTGAAAACTGGTTGTATAGTTCATCTATTGGTGAAGTTGTCTGGGTTAAAGTTTAGTGTCTAATTTAGTTTTCCTCAAGTAAAAATGGTTTTTACATTTATATTTTTGAAAAGTTACTTAAGGCTAGTCACCTTTTCAAGGTATTTATAGATAGAGGCAAATTCGGCACAGTCCATCATAAAATGTTTTACTGTGTATATCTCCTGGCATACAATGCATTTAGGCAGGTCCTCTTCTTTTAGAAGGAATGAATGTGCGATATTGGTATGACCAATTGTGATTCTTATGGTGTCTTATTCAAAGTGTAGATTTGATTTTGTACAATTTATTATTTGGGTGAGTATTCCTTAGCTCTTGCCACTTATTTAAGATACATATATCAATAGCTGTGTGAGAGACTTTTGTTTTTGATATGTTCATTTTTAGTGATTCTTTAGCTGCCATATCTGCCTTTCCATTTCCCTGGATGCCTATATGGCTAAGGATCCAGTAGAAGAGGGTGTGTTTTTGGTTACAAAGTAAATTGATTTTGTTTAAAGTTTGGTTATTAGAGAATTGGTCAGATTTTTTATACTTCAATGATCTAAGTAGAGATATAGTGAATCTATTTGACGCACAATCTGTGATCATATCTAAGGCTAAGACTGTTGCCAAAACTTCTGCACTTAAAATTAAGGATTTGTCAGGTAGGTGCTTTTGAAATATTCTTTCATTTAGTATAGCTGAACATCCAACTCTACCATCAAGATTCTTGGAGCTGTCAGTCTACATATGCTTAAAATTTGTGTGTTTTTGTAAGATATATATTTCTTCCATGAAGACAGATGTGTTAGTTTTGGTTTTGGAGTGTTTTACCACTTAATAGACTTAATAGTACAGTGGGTTGTTTTATGTGGAAGGGGGTTTAGAGTTTTTTTGAAAGAATAGTTTCATGTATTAGAGCAGTGTTTATTTTGGGTTTGTTTATATTTGATATTTCTATGTGGATGCCAAGGGTTTAATGGGATTTTTCTTTAAATTATATAATTCTTTATATTGAGATTGGAGAACACGGTTGTATGCTGAATTACTTGGGCATGAGCATAGTTTGATGTAATATTGCAATGCTAGCTTATGTTGTCTTAATGCCAAGGATAGTTTGTATGATTTGGCGTACAGGCTTTCTATGGGGGAATGTACTGTAGGCTCCTAGGATGGTATTAAGTTCTTTCACATATGATTTTCTGCCACACTATAGATAAAGCATCCATAATCCAATTTGGATCTAAGTAATGTCTGTTTGTTGGTTCCCCAGTCTGTGTGAGATGGCTCAAAGTTGTTATATTGCCTATTGCATTTCTCACCAAGATATTTTGTATGTATATTTTTTTGCTGCATATTACTCCTAGGTATTTGTATTGGTCTACTACAATACCATCAAGTCTTAATTTGGGATTTATGATATAGCTTTCAAAGTTGACAGAAGTGTATACATTGAGTCTTTTGTCTGGAATATCTGAATGCATTTTCTGTGGCCCACTTGTTTACTTTATTAAGGCACTGTTGGTGTTGCCGTTCAATTGTATAGATAGTTTTTGATCTGTAACATATTAAAAAGTCATCTACATAGTGAACAGTCAACTCCAGGGATCAAGCATTTAATGATGCCATTTATTTTGACATTAAAGAGTGCTACCATTTCTTGCTAATATAGGTTTTATGAGCAAGAAAGGAGTGTAATATAACCTATTTTTATTTCAGATGGTGGTTTGGGTGTGTTGAATTTTAATATGTATATATTAGTGTTTATGATTTGCCCATTTCTTTTAACTATTATTCTGGTTGCATCTATTACATTTTGTTTTTTTAGGTTAACTTTGATTTCTTCTTGGGAGCAAACTGCCAGGCCTGGACTTTTGATTACACCTCTGGACATGTTTAAACTTTGGCGTAGATAAATTTTGATTTTTAAGTTGTTTGAGTATTTTTTTCTGCATTAATTTTTTTCCCTACTTTTATTATTAATTTATTGTTTAATTTTTTTAACAGATATAGGAATAATCTTGGAGTATATTGTTTTTTCGATTATGAATAGTGATAGTTTTGTAATAGGAGTTTCTTCAAGTGACTGTATATTGTGAGAAGTGATCGTGAGATTTTGTATTCATTATCAGAACTTGATTCAGAATGGGGTTTTTTATTTTCTTTGTTGCCATATTATATATATTTTTCATTTCACCATCCTTGCTCTCCACCCTCCTTGGAGCCCTATCCAAGATAGCGATGGTTAGGGGGTATCCATTTGCCCAAGTATCCCAGGGATACAAAAATGATATACTCAGTTTTAGTATTTATATGCAGTCATCAATAATTTCTTCCATTACTCTACCCCTGTGAGGCTGAATATAAGTTTTAATTTTTGATGATACATTTTAGTTATGACCTAATTGACTCTTGCCACTGTCTTCTAGTACCAATTTGATTATATTTGATTTTGTTTTTTTTTTTTGTTTTTTTTTGTGCAGTCATTGTGTTTTTGGAAGGTGGATTGGTACTAGGGCTTGACATGACTAGCCAACTGATCAGATCAGGACTCTCTGAGTCAAGTGAGTCATCTAGCTCAAGTGAGAGCCAAAGTAGTATATTGGAATTCAGGAGCATTTTACCTAACTCCTGTCCTTGGGCATCATGGGTAGCCACACATAGCAAACAGGTGGCCTCATTTGGGTGTGTATGGAGGGGGGGGGTCTTATCCCTCTGCAGAGGTGCAGTTGGCATATTCTACAACCTCAGCTGACAGGGCGGCTAAATGTTTGAGACTGAATATAAAGTTTTTTTTTTTTTACTTGCATTATTTACATTACTCAAACTGTTATCTTCATTGCCATATTCACAATGTTTCGACCGTTGTATGCTCCAGCCTTCTTCAGGTGATTGGAATTTCAAACTGAACTTTTTATTTCATCCTCCAGGGTATATTGTTCTAGTTCTACGTGCCATGCCTCTTCCAGATGTCTCAAGTATTTTCCTTTAACTCAACTCTCCAAATGGTGAAGAAGGCCTGAGTGTACAACGGACGAAACGTTGTGAATATGGCAATGAAAATGAGGATAGTCTGAGTAATGTAAATAATGCAAGTAATCATAATACCACATCTCAGAAATATACACAGAGATTTTTTTTATTTATCATAAAAATAGAGGAACAAAAAGTTCATTATAATGGTTTAATAATAATTCAGTTATTGTTTAGACATTTTTGCAGATGTTTATAATTCTTTTGCAATGTATATACAAGCTAGAGTGCCACTAGTTTTTAATTTTCTATTTTCTAAATGACTTTGTACAACATATCACGGCTTCACAAAGCTCACATTTGTATAATTCAATGTTTTACAACTGAGCTGTACAGTGGTGTGGAATTGAAATTAAACATTTCAAGTCAAAGGAGATCAATTTTTCTGTTGGCCTTAGCAAACAAAAAAAATCATCTCTTAAATGTCTACACATCCACTTGAATGTTATTGAAGAATATAGCAACAATATCATCTGTAAATAAAACCTGCCTTATCCATAAAAAAAATGATACAATAGTCATGGATTAAACTGTACTCACTTTTCTCTTCAAGTTTGGTTTATAATCCTTTGGATAGATGAGTGCTTTTAACTGTTCTGCAAATGTGCCAGCTCTTTGGGCCATTTGTTCTTTATCAGGAACTAGAAAGAAAGAGAAAGAAAAAAAAACTTGTCAACTTGAATCAATGCTTATATCGGCTGTGTATTTGTCTGTGGTCTCAACATGAAACCAATGACATACCTTTGGATCATTTATGTAATTCTATCAATAGAAGACAGGATGTTTCCAAACATGATCTAGAAATTATTAATCCTAAAATCTAAAAATATTTTGAAAAAAAATCATTGCCTGTCAGAATGTATGTACCTCTTTGAATTTCTCATTCTTTTAATTCTTTTTATTTCTCTGTGTCTCTCTTATTACAAAGTGTGTGCATAAGTTTTACTTACTATTTTTTTTTAAATTCATTTAATTTTACTCTCTTTCCTCTATTTGAAAACTTTTTTGTATATTGATTCATTGGTGATTTCTTTAGCTCCTACATCTATTGAACATTTTTTTTTTATTAGCAGGTTACACAGGTGATGGGGTGACCACTTCCACAAAAAGTGAATGCTGGCACTTTAGCTAAGTTAAAACTTTCTAACAGCTTCTGACTCCCTGTCCATACACTCTCTCCAATTTATGTGCTGCTCCTTTATAAGCCATTTTTTTCCAAATAGATAACTTACCAATTACATACCCACAACCTGTAATCAGCTATACCATGGAGAGGGGGAGGGGTAATCCATAAGCATCCCTGCACAACCCCATTACCCTCTCCTCCTAACTGGTCCTTTAGTCATCTAGCTCATGTTCATGGCTCTCAGTTTAATAATTTCTCTGGATACCAAGACCTGAATTGATTTTTTTTCTCCCCCCGTTTGTTTTAGTTGTTGATTTTTTTTTTTTTTTTACCAACTTCTGCATTGTGGAATCATTCCATTTTTAAAAAAGATCCTGATATAATAACTCTCTGCAAAACTAACCATAACTCTTCAATTCCTTCCTCTGATTTCTTGATTTCTGGCTACTTTCCTCTCCTTAGAAAGGACTCTAGTGCATATGCATGGCCTGAGAGTTTATGTCCACGATCATCTCCTGCTGGCTAGGGTACTCTCTTTTAAATCTCCAGATCATTCGTATATGTGACTCCATCTATCTCTCCTTAATTCAGTAAGCTATCTCTTCTTCCTCTACCGTTCCCCTTCCACTCAAGACTGTTGTGTACTCGAAAGTATTTCCGATAATATAGACAAGGCCATCTCCCTATACCCGTTGGCAAATGTATCCGTGTTTGGTGACTTTAATGCCCACCATACCAGGTGGCTTAAACACACTGTTACTGACCTTGCTGGCATCCAAACCCTTAACTTTTCAATCACTCAATCCCTCACACAAGTTGTTGACTTTCCTACATGTAACCCTGACAGTAACGCCTCCCTTCTCAATCTGTTTTCCCTCCATCCTTCTTGTCATGCTATGCAGCTCTGCCCTCTTGGCAACTCTGATCACGTGGTAGTGTCTGTAAACATCTCCTTCCACTCCCTGTTCAGCCATGAACCTCCTATCAACAGAATATATTTCTGTTATCAACATGCAGACTGGGACTCATTTCATGATTTCCTTTGCAACGTACCTTAGAATATAGTTTCTAATCATCCTGTTCAAAAATGTGTGTTGAGGTATCCTCCTGGGTAAAAGCCGGCATCGATACTTTCATTCCAGCGAGGAAATACCAAGTTAAATCAAGCTTTTCTCCTTGGTACTCACCTGTTTGCTCAGCCACTCTAGCCCACAGGAATCACTTCTTCCGTCTGCACTGGAGTGACATGTCTGATTGCAATATCTCTTTTTCCCTGCTCCAAGCATATCCTCAATGAAGTAAAACTGCTGTTTGCTGATAGAATGAAATCACATATTGCATCTTGCAAATTTTTTTTTAGTGATTATTGGTAACTCTGCAAGAATGTGCTGAGCAACAGCAATTCCTCAATCCTTCCTCTATTCAATCAGTTCAAAGTCCTGACATCCACACTAGATAAGGCTGAATGTTTTGCTCAGAAATTCTCATCCAACTCAACATTCAGTCTACTGCTGATGTGCTTATAACTGAATATGTATGCCAAGCTCTTGATAATAATGGTGAAGCTAGAGCTGTGGCTCTAGATATCTCTAAGGCATTTGACAGGGTTTGGCATGCTGGTCTTCTATGTAAGCTTCAGGGCTATGGTATTACAGGATGATTATATCATTTAATCCAATCATTCTTATCAAATTGTGAAATGAATGTCATCTTAAACAGGCTCTCTTCCAGTTCCTTTCACATGAACGCTGGTGTTCCCCAAGGCTCTATCCTGGGTCCTACACTGTTTCTGATCTTCATCAATGATCTTCCTGATGTCATCAGTTCTCAAGTAGGACTCTATGCAGACGACACTACCATTTACTCCTGTCTCAATAGTAAATCTGTTAAAGCTGACAAAATTAACCTGGCTGTTGGTCTTGAAAAGGTCCTCCAATCAGTGGTTGATTGGGGCAGGAAATGGCTTGTAAATTTTAATGTCTCCAAAACAAAACTGCTCCCATTAAGAGAAACTTCCCTGCCCCTGATGCATTTTTGATGCTCAACTTCACGAGAGTACCTCACGTTTTCCACTGACCCGAGGTGGAACAACTACATTAAATCAATAGCTGCATCTACTGCAAGGAAAGTTGGTTCTCTGTGTCATGCCAGAAGGTTTTTCTCATCTGAGTCCATCCTACACATCTACGAATCTACCATTTGTCCATGCATTGAATACTGTTGCCATATATGATCTGGCACCCCTGCTGTTCATCCTGAGGTTCTCAACAAAATCCAAAGATAGATCTGTAATGTGATTGGTTCTGATTTGGCACTTTGACTCCAGTCACTTTCTCAAAGATGTGATGTGTCTTCTCTCTGTCTTTTCTACAAATATTTTCATGGAAAATGCTCTGGTGAGATATTTTCCCTGGTGCCCAGACTGCATGAACTTAAGCGTGCTACTAGGTTGGCATCTTGGTCACACCTTTTTACTATTAAAACAGTTAAATGAAACCGCCTCTTCTATTCCAACAGCTTCTCTCGCACTTCCCGGCAGTGGAACTCCCTTCCTCTTATTTGCTTCCCTGATAACTACAATCTTCAAAAATTTAAATGCAACATCAATCACCATCTTCTGATGCCTTAATTAATCCCTGTTTTTTTTTTTCATCCTTTCCTCAATCCCCACCTCCCATACTCAGTATTTTCTCTTACCTTCACTTTCTGTAACCCCCCTTGCGCACTAGTGGCAATCCCACCTTGCGTGGGGTGAAATGCTTAAAAAAAAATAGAAACAACCTCACTTGAAGGGATTATCAATTCTAATAATAAATAACCTGATTATTTTATTTCATGAGAGCAGAAAACTGATTTCTATCACAGATCTCAACAACAGAAGAGTGGTAAGTGTATAACCTACTTGCATAATCGACAAATTCTTCTCGTTCTGTTCTTTCCAAAGCCAAAGCCTCAATGTTTCTCCAATGTTCTTGGATGTCAGGGTTTTCAAATTTATCAGGAGAAAAAGTAAATTTTAAATTTTTAATTAATTCTTGGGCTTTTTCCTTTTGTTCTGGGAGAGCTGTGAGAGAGAGAGAGAAAAAAAGAAAACATTTTAGGATTAGTGAGAAATGCATAAAAACAAGAAAGTAAACAAAATTTAATCAACATAAGAAAAGAAAACTCCTAACCTTCTTGAAAGGAAAAGGAGACACTATGTAGAAGAGCTGGACAAAAGTGACAGATTTTAATTTTCTTACCTTTTTGAGTTACTCCTAAATCAATTTTCCTGAAATCATCTGCAAATGGGAGGAAGATGACATGGAACCCAGAAGGTGAAGTCTGAACTTTTTGTTCATTTAATATTTCTTTCTATAAGAAGAAATTGTCGAAGAAAATGGCCATAAAGACTGCACAAATAAGTTTTCCAGTAGAGAAAATAATTTTAAAAAGATAACAAATTGTAATTTCAATGCTCATTAGCTTCTGGCATCATTTTATAACATGGGCACAGATACTCAGCATGTGCGATATGTGATGGCATATAAAAACATCCCTCAATATTATAGAGTTAGGCAGACTAGACTTGAAACTTGTTTTGCCATTTTGGGGGAGAGAAAGAAAAAAAAGATTCTTATATTTCATTAAATCTTTTTGAATCTAGACTCCCTGTGGAGCATAAGGCCACAGCTAACCTAACTAGATGGTGCTGCTATGATTTCAGCAGTAAGTAGGTTTTATGTGGTGGAGTTTCAGCCACACATCCAATCAGTTTTGAATACAGAGTTTTCCTTTTCAGACTGGTTGCTAACCAAAGCTAGTGGGCCCAATTTTTTTTTTTTTAAATCCACAGATAGAAGTTATGGATTCATACCTTTCCTAAGAGTATTTGTGCGAAAGTAAAAGCAATGATCTTAGCTCAACAATCTCACTTTTTGCACAGGTAGCCGCTATGCTGCAAACATCTACACCAACAAATAAAGTACTTAATTCTGATATAATGTTAACTTTAAGGAAGTATTTTTAAATAAATAACATAATCCAATAATTAAATTAGTTTCATTTAGTCACAAGGTGATGAAGTGATAAACAAGAAAGAGTTTAAAAAAAAAAAAACAATGGGTAACATACCTGAGGGACAAGAGCAACAAAGCAGGGTGGTGATGATTTTGATTGGATGTATTTGCAAATGACAACAACATCACGATGGAGACATCTATCCAACAAAGCTGTGAAAAGGCAAGTGCTACCAGCAATGGTCTGAAAATTAACCAAATATTAAATAAAGAACCATTTTAAACACACCATTTAATAGATTTTGTGACATCATGTGCTATGTAAAATTAGTTCAAAATGTAAAATACAGAAAAACAAAGACAAGAGGAATAAATGTAATGACTTTCTTCAAGTCCTTTCAAGCTATAAGTATGAATAAGGTTATCTATTAAACAGTCTGACATAATGCTAAATTAGTAAGTCTACTATCAAAAGCAATAAAAAGAGCCTTTGTATTATCATTCAAATCAATTTCCTGAATGAGAAATTTTCTCTTCCTAATGTGATAAATAAGTATAAGTGTTTTATAAATTTGCACTCAAATCAACTCACTTTTTCATCAGGATATATAAATTGTGCTGGTTTCACATGTTGATAAGTTTTTAGCTTGCTTCGTGGCTTGAACCCCATTAAAGTAAGACCTGCAAAACACAAAAATTAGTCCAAAAGTAAAAATCCTAAGAACATTCTAAATGAGACTTTATAAGCCTTATTACTGATTATGGAAGGTCGGAGAGACAAAAGTAGGATTTATAAAAATTAGTTGAAAATTAAAAATCTTGTCAAAAAGACATCATTCCTAAATTAATCTAACAAAATTAACAAAATTAAAGGAAAAGCAAGAATCATTTGCTTGGAGCTGTGAATTATTTTAAAGTTGTTTGAGTTGTGATAAAGGTTGGCTTAAAAAATTTCTGTTCAAAGATATCCACCTGAAAAAAACGGAGAGTAATAGCCAAAACAATAATTAAAACAAAGATAACAATACTAGTCTTAATAATTCAGGTAAAGTTTTTATATATTCATGATAATATGCAGACAAACATGACATAATTACACATATTTCCTCTAGCAACCAAATATTTTAATTTTGACAAATACTTCATAATAAGAACATATACATTTCAAAGAATAACTTGATGATTATATAAGAATATATATAAAATGAATAATAAAAAAAACTTGTAAACATAACCAATTTATTTGCATTATTTTCTGTTTGTGAAAGTGAATGTGTTTAACTTGTGTGTGTATGAGTGTGTGCGCATGTGTGTGTATTTAGACAGCATATCTTCATTCAAACATGTTTCATTGAATACAGAGACATATTGTGTCTTACTGATTCTTTCCATTTGTCGAAACAGTTTCTTGATGCTAAGATGAAATTCATTAAGGTGCTGTAGTTTTTGTTAACCCAAGTACTTTTGATCTTTTCCAAGATCATCTTCAAGGGTGAATTACATAAATTCCATAACTAAAATGGATAAATTAAAAATTTTAAAATAATTACAGAGTGCTTTCACCCATGTTTTTAAAAATCACCATCGCAACTGGATGCAGATTTTATTGCAGTTACGATAAGTTTGTTGTTGTAATTTACCCCTGAAGATGATTTTGGAAAAGATTGAAAGTACTTGGGTTAACAAAAACTACTGTGCCTCCCTTGATGAATTTCATCTTTAGACAAATGGACAGGATCAGTATAAAAATAAGTAGGCACAATATGTCTATATTATTCAATGAAACACATTATATTATATATATATATATATATATATATATATATATATTTAAAAAGAGACTAAATTATCATGGAACAAAGATGTCAGATTAACATTACAAAGCAAAGCCTGTACATTTACATTGTAGGGATTCTGAAATCAATGAAACAAAAACACTGGCTAGAAGCCTTAAAAGAAAAATGTATATTGCCTTTCACTTTGAGAAGGGCCATTAACATTTGAAGATTTACTCAAGCAACTGAACCCATATGTTGGGTTGCTGATGAGGTTGTTATAATGTTGTCGATGGTCCACTATATCAATTAGAATCATCTGTGGGTAGTGGTGAATAGCATCATCTCTGTGCTTTGTTTTACTCAAATGAACCAAGAGAGAATTCTTTTCTGCTCAGATGATTATACACTTGAAGACATTGGCTAAAATGTGATTATAACCAAGATCAAGGATTTCATTTGTTTTAACAAATCTTGTTAAAAAAAAAAAAAAAATTCAATTATGAACCCCACCTTTTTCCTAAAGGAAAATATTAAAATTTAATTGCATTTTCTCTTACCTGCAGTACCAAAGGATTTTATTCCTGCAATTTCTTCTTTGTCAAAGATTATTTTTTTACCACCATAATTTAAGGAATATTTGAAATCTTGTGGAAAGAGCACTTTGCCAGTTTCCTGGAAGACAAAAACAATCATGAAACTAAATTAACAAGTCTGTAGTCTGATATGTCATTAGCTGAATTTTTACCCGAAATTGTCACTGTAGAATAATTGGTCTACATGATTAATATTCACTATTGAATTAAGTGCATCAACAAAGATCATGTTGAGTAGATAATTATCCGATTTGAAAAATAAATGCTTTTTTTATCATTAGGCTACAGACCTATTGATGTCCCTATATAAAAGCATTATTTTTAAAATATAAGAGAGACAAAACTTGAAATGATTATTTTGTAGAAGTCAGCATATGACATTTAAAGCAAATTATCCTCCAGATATCAAGTTTAACCAGGTAATCTGCAAGTAGCAACCCCCACATTCCTTTTTTTAGTCAATATCTAAATTTTAAAAGCTAAATTATCAAAATAAAGTCCTACTTCAAACACAGGCTAATTTTCTTTTTTTCAATATTTCATCTCCTGGAATTTGTATTTAAAGTTTCTTGCATTGAAAAACTAAGCAAAAATTAGTCCAGCTCAAGTGTAAATGTCTTTCAATTTATTTAATGAAGATAACCACAGTTATCATGAAGTTATAATTACAAAAGTCGGCAGCTTCAACATAACAAACTGGAATGACTTTGCCTCCTTTAGTTAATGTTGTGTGTATTTCATGCTTAATAACAGCTATATATTAAATATATCAGCTATATTAAATAATGAGGAAAATAAAAATCAGTTAACAAATGTTAATTAATGATGACCCCACAAGTTATTTTTAAAAAGATGCTGCCAAGTCATCTTGCTTGTAATTATTTTTTAAAAATTCAGTCTCACCGTAAGGTAGGTTTTTCTTTTTATTTTCAATTCTTCATTGTTTTTCTTATAGAGTTTTGTTGAATATGGTTTTCGGCACTGACTTATTAACAGATATCTGAAAGCGAAAATACCAAGCTTAATAGGAAGAAAATGTTTTCAATATATAACTTCTTGTTTAATGCAAATAAACATGACAATGCTTGTCTCCAAAAATTTATGAACAAACCATTTTATCTTTTGGAGCAAACTTTAGAGCTTGAATAAAACTGATCAAAAAGTCTAGTTACATTTTTGAGGTCTGTATGTGAAAAGGTTTTAGTTAATGAGAGGCATCTTCTTAATGCTTGCTCTTTGATTAGATGCTTAACTTTATACATAAAACAAAATTTAATGAAAAAAAGAAAAAAAAGAAAAAAAAGAAAAAAAAGAAAAAAAAGAAAAAAAAGAAAAAAAAGAAAGAAAAGAAAGAAAAACGTTTTTTTAAAAAGTGAGTTTTTTAAAAATTGAGATTTTTGCATTTAAGGTTTAACTGCTGTGGGTTAAGTTAAAATTACATTACTTAAGTCTAAATATATTCTGATTTATAGTTATAAAAGATAAAATTAACCATTTATGAATGTAGTCACCTGAAAAAGTAAGCAAAATATAGGCAAAGTTTAAAATTGTTCATTTTTCAAATAATCTATTATTTTGAACATGAACTGTATCTGTTAAAATATAAACAAGATAATGAAACTAGTGAGCAAGTGTTATAAAGTTACATACACACCAACAGCCATTTCAACACCTTTACCAAGACTAAAAATTATTCTTCGCATGGGTCTTTTCTTGTGATCTTTTGATCGAACTCTGAAACAAATCAGAAAAAAAAAAACAAAGAAATATACAAAAAGATGATAAATAATAAAAATAAAAGAAAATCCAAAAAAATATGAAGAAAAAAAAATAATATTTTTGTAACAAATTAAGAGTGGCTTAATTCCAGCATCTACTTTTTTGTGTGTAATACTCGTGTTTTAATTTCTTTCCAAGGAGTAGAAGCATTTAAAAAGAAAAAAATACTTTTTTCTTCAGAGTGCACTTTTAAAATACTTGGGTAAAATGAGAAAATGGAATAACAATAATAATAAAGAAAGTGTTACCGGATAAGAAGTTCTTCTAATCTGGCTGAGGGGCAAGGTAATTCTGTCATTTCATCTTCATCAGGAAAAAGAAGATCCTTAAAAACAAGAAGTGAAAAAAAAAGGAGGGGTATCAACAAAAGGAAATTTTTTATAGTCAAAGGTTTGCATTTGAAGAACTAAATATTTTCTCTGGTTAAAAGTTTAAGTCACAGATTTATTTTATTATTTTATTATAATTATAGAAATCTAATTTCATTAGAATAATCTCCTCCTCTTTAATTAGTTTTCATACTGCATGATTTATTTAATTATTAAAAAAAATAGAAGAATATAATTGAATAATAAATTTTCACTAAAAAACAAATTCATTTGAGAAGTGAAATGTTATTTTCCATTAACTCAAAGTAAAATTGACCTGATAGCACCGAATAAGTTTATTATAATAGTTAGTTGTAGTGTTAAACACATAACACAGGATAGTTTAAAAAGGGAAAAAATTTTTCAATGGAATTATATGCAAGATATGTACAGTTTAAAAAAAATACAACTAGTTAAACAAGTTTTCTTCTATGACAGATCAAGTTCTGTATAGTTTTTATAATGAGGATCATCTGCAAACTTTTTTATTTTTAGATTTTTACATTGCAATAGTTGTCTACCTTGTAGAATTCGTCAACATCAAAGGACTGATCTGGAGTAGGTAAATTAATCAATTCCAAACTTATTCCATTTTTATGCAAGTCTTCAGCACGGATTTTGGCCTATTTAAATGACAAAAGAGCAAATTGTTACATTAGAAGTACATATGCTTACATTACAGATAGGTATAGCAAAATAGAAATTTCAATGCATAAAATTCATTTTGTAGAGAAGATATGTTTCACAGGTTGTTTTATAAACAACTTTATATGTGCTTTGCTTGAAACAAAAGATTTTTTAAAAGTTATTTCAATGTAAAACTAACAATGTTTCTATCGCTGCTTTCTCTATATTGATCAACTCTAAATTATTGAGTTAAGAGGAACTGAAAAGAAATTTACAATTACCTAATAAAACAAGTGATGATAAAACCAATTGAAAAAAATAGTAATAGCATAATACTAGTAACTGATCTGTTCATACCATTTATGAATCAATCTTATTTTATAAAGTATATAGTAAATCAATCATGAGATGAGCTTTTCAAAATCTCCCCCTAACATAGAATGACATACTCCTGCTTGTAAGAGAACTGATTGCTTTGTGGGACTGACTAACTGAATATGTTATAAGCAAGTTTCTTTTTTTCTAAGGAAATCAAAGCTAAAGTACTTCATTGTAAAATAGGTTAAAGATTAGAACTTCTTTCCAGGTCATTCACCAGTATCCACAGATTCAGATTTAGGAACATTGGTCTATGAAATGCCTGTCTAAGGACTATTGGTCTATAATAATATTTTGTAATAAATTAAGCCTTTATTCATGTAAAAAAATACTCAATTTTATTGATATTCACTATATTACAGAATATAATAAACATTCAAAGCAATATTAATTACTGATGATACATGTGGTTTATAAGCATTTATTGACATGCATTGTTTGTATATTAATAATACAACCTAGATTAGACCATAATTCTCAAGACAAATATTTCTTAGACATATATTCTTTAGATGAGTGTTCCTTAGACATATATTTCTTAGATGAATGTTCCGGATCCCATAGATTCTCTTGTGATTTCCATTATAATGACCACTAATAACAATTCTATTTCTAAATTAAAATTAAAGACATTTATTTTACTGTAGTTATCATAATCATCATCTCTTTTTCTATGTTAAAGAAAAATTCTAGAACAGTCTCTCAGTAAAAGATAATTTACTTAAGATGGCTTTTTGGGGACTAACTTCATGTATATTATCAAAGTAAACACTTAAAAAATTTGAACACTGAAAACCTGTTATTATATAATCTAATTTTTAGTATTAGTTATTTTAGTATTAGTATGTCTGCTATACAGTTAGTAAGCTAGCCTTGCAGGCTATTGTTAGTGAGCTTGGTCCTCACTGGATAACCTCACAATTATGGCCTGGTGCAAGGCTCAACACAACTTAGTAAATATCTATATTTACATATTATATCTAGTAGATACTCTTTGATTAATGACAACTGTGTTCAATGTAATTTTGCTTTTCCTATTTGTTATTGTTCCAATAATTTAAAGATGAAATAACAGTATGACATACAAAAAGTATTAATCTCAAAGAAAAAAAAGAGAAAAAGGAAAAGAGAAAAAAGAGAAAAAAAAAAGAAAAAAGAAAAAAAAAAGAAAAAAGAGAGAGGAAAAAAAAAAGAAGAGAAAAGTCTTTTCTCTATTTACATTATTCGGACTATTGTCTTTATCTTTATTGTCATATTCACAACGTTTCGGCCATTGTATGCTCTTGCATTCTTCAGGTGATATATGTTGGGATTTTGAGCCCATTATTTAGTCCATGGGGGTAGATTGCTCTAGTTCCTCATACCATGCCTTTTCTGGATGTCTCAGTTTCAATTAATTCCCTTTAGTAACTCAACTCTCCAAGTTTTTGTTCACCTCTGCTATGATCAGGTATTGAACTCACAACTCTTTGGGTCAAGTCACTGGATTACTTCAATCAATGCTTTTATCCACTGGACCATGTGTCCTTGGGGAAAAAAAACTTGGATAGTTGAGTTACTAAAGGGAATTGAAACAGATACCCAGAAAAGGCATGGCATGTGGAACTAGAACAATCTACTCCTGTGGACTAAATAAAGGGTTTGATTCGAAATTCCAACATATACCACCTGAAGAAAGCTGGAGTGTACAATGGCTGAAATGCTGTGAATATGACAAAGATGAGGACAACAGTCCGAACAATGTAAATAGTGTAAAGAGTTACAATATCTCATCTCAGAAATATTGACAGATGTTGAAGGTGAATACAGCAATAAATAAAGATGAGGACAACAGTCTGAACAATGCAAATAGTTACAATATCTCATCTCAGAAATATAGATAGAGCTCTTTTCTCCATGTTTTTCTCAGACATTCTTTCCAGAAGAATTTTTTTCCTTCACATCTACATTCTCATTTCGTGTTATTCTGTTATTTCTGGAAAATTCTAAAGGAAAACAACAATTTCAGTCCCTTTCTCTCTGCCTGTTCATCTTCCAAATTAATTGATACAAAATACAATTTAAATTTATGCAGTAAAAAGTCAAATGATTACTTACATCATTTGCTGCTTTCCCTTCATGAGGTTTATCGTTATTGGTGAAAAGAATTACTCTCTTGGATCCCAATTTTTCTTCACTGCAAAACAAAAATGTCATTAAGTGAAAACTTTTGATATGAATTAAGAGCAAGATGATTTTTAAGAAGTCAAGAAGATTCGTAAAAGGAATCTGTGGAGAGCTATGATCAACTACATCTTGAAGGTACATGGCATTAGAAAGAAAAACTGAATGAGATTTAATTGGCCATTTTTTTTTTTTGTTTTACATAGAAACTCTTGCTATGTGAATTGAACTTAATATTCAACACTAACATTAAATCTCGTTTTTGTCAATATATTTAAACAAGAAAATAAAAGCAATATTATTAGCTTTCTTTGTCTGTTATTGTACTCGATAAAACTCTTTATTCAATCTATGAGAATAGATTGTTCTCATTCCACTTTCCATGCTTAGGGGAGATAACTCATATCAGTTAATATTTACCAGTCTTATTTACGGTCTCTTGTCTGTTATTTCCCCTGAACCAGAGTATGTGATTCTTTTTAACTCTACCAAACCTGTCTGTACTCAGGTGGTGTCACTACTGAATGGTTGACTATATACATGGTATAGTGGATAAAACATTGATTAAAACATATCTAGTTCCATGACAGTTGCAAGTTCAATTCTTGGGTTGGGTAGTGCTGCAATGTCATATACTCTGGACCTGGTTCAGGGTAAGAGTATAACAATGAAGTTGAGCATGCTGGTCTGAAAAACAACCCTTCATTTTGTCTTATTCAATTTTTTTGTTTTGTTTTTGTTACTTGTATTATTTTGCTTCACATTTATTTCTATTCATAATAAACATTTGAATTTATAATAAGCTTTTATTGAAAAATGAATTCTATAGCATTGGTGATAGTCACAGAATGCCATGTTCATATATAGAAGGCTGGAGAATTAACCCAGTGAAATGGGATAAGGAGTAACAAAAGACAAAGTTACTGCAAAATGAGAATCTCAAACAAAATCCTTAATGAAGATAAATATTTCTCATAAGAGTATGTTGTGATAAATTTGTGATATTGCTAAGAGAAGGGCTCTTAAAATGCAACTCACCACTTAGAGAAAAGATCTGAGCAGGCCCACAATGCATCACCAATTTGGTAGTCAGAGTTAGAACCAAAGTTGTTATTAAAGTTTTTCCAGCTGACTGCAAGTAAAGCAATAAAATCACTTGCAATTAAAATACAAAAAATCAGAATGAATCCAAAAATTTACTGTGAAAGAAAATAGAATAAAAGTAAACTGTTAAAATAAAGACATTCTTTTTTTTTTAAATTTATTAGAGTCAAGGATTATGAGAAATCAAATGACATTTGTTTACATAAGGATAAATTAGCTTTGAAAGGCATCATAAAAATTCAGTACAAAAATGACTGTTTCTGAAATTCTGTCTCATAACTCTGAGGAATGTCTATATTTCTTAATTTAGTGAGGAAATTTAAATTACAATTTTTGATAAGTCTTAGCTTATGTTAATGGTTTCACAGTTTTAACATTTACTGTTTGAGATTAGGATGTTACCAGAATTATAACACATCTAGGTTCACAATTGAACATAACTAAGAAATAAGATGCCCAATTATTAAAAACTAGCTGCTTGTCCAGCAAAGTTAATCTATTGAATTCATTAACAGAAATCACATTTATTATCTATTTTAAATATCTTGCAGAAAAAGTGAAAATCTTATTTCAAATCTGTTTCTACTAAGAACATTATGTGCCTTGCTAATTCACTGAAAAAACAGCATAGCATTATGAAAAAGGCTCCAAACATAAAAAGAAAGTTTTATCATCAAAATATTTGTTATTAAGAGGAAAGACCAAAGTTTTTTTTAATTTTTTAATCCTATCACATTTGAAATTTTGGTTAAAAATCTAGTTTTTGGGGTTTTTCTTTTTTTTTTTGCACCAACAGTGGACCAAAGATTACGATGGGTATTTTAGCACCTTTTTTTCCAGTAAAATAACACATTGATTTTTCTGCTAAAAATCAATTAATTGTTGGATTTTAATGAAACTTTCAGGACTTATTCACAAATGAATGAAATTATTTTTGAATTTTTTTTTTTAATAGAAAATCTTGGTAAAAATACTTTTTTTTTTTTTTTTTAAAATATGTTACCCCCACTTATTTAATTTCAAGAAAATTAAATTTTAACTACATAATTTGTTTTATTAGTTAAAAGACTCTTTGGAGAATATAAATCATCAATTTTTTTTTTTTTTAAACAGTTACTCATTTCCCAAAAATCTGCTCCAAATTGTAAAATAAAAACTGCAATAAAACTATGACATTATTTAATTAGAAAAGCTTTTAATTGCTTTTATAAATAAAATTTATTAAGGACATCATTGTCTTAAGAAAAAATTTTTTTCAATGAATAATGAATTTTTACAAGAATTGTTTTCATTTCTTTTTAAATTTTAAAAATAATTTATAAAGTTTCAAATCTTTTAAAATTCTGCATTGCATTATTGCATTACGTGATATTGTTATTAAATGAAAACTATATCTACTAATCAAAAATTGAAAAGCTTAATTCAAATCATCACACCAAGATTTTCAAAATAATTAAAAAAATTTTTTAGTGTATAAACATTTCATATGGACGAAACGTTATATAAGAATGATGACTATAGTAAATTTAAAGTCAGCATTCCTAAAATTAGATTACAGAGAATATTTTCAAACATTTTTAAGATTACCAAGTTCTTAAAACTTATAAAAAAAAGGCATTCACATCATTTTCTAAATTCTGTTTTACAGATAAAGTCTCTGTAGAACAACAATCATCATGACATCACCTGTCAACGCCTCATCACATATGTAAAGCATAGTGATGTCGGTTAAAAATACAGCTACTGATTTGTTTTAAAAATACATTTCTGTTTTATTTTAAACTTAAAGTAAATGAATTTTTTTTTCATATCAGATTAATTATACTTTAAATCAACTAATATTCCTCAAATAAAGTATCAGAAAAGTATTCCAATCAATATTTGTTTGAAATACACCAGAGTATTTTGTTTACTAGAAATAGTAAATTTAATCCTTTAGCTTTCAATTAAAGCTAAAAGGAAAGCTTCAAGAAAACTTTTTCATTTTTAAAATTTCATTTTAAACCTTAGTTATTGCAAATTAGTAGAGGTACCTACAGAACATTATAGCATGACAACATTTAATTTGAAATTGTTCAATTATGTATTTTACAATTTCACCATTATATAAGGTATTTGTGCAAAATAAGAAAATAAACATAGCATATGGTCATATAATGTTAAAACGTTTTTAGTATAAAACAGATTTGAAATTTGGTTAGCACTGATAATCGGGGATTTTTATATAACTTATTTAAAATAAATAGTAAATGTGATATCTGTTAATGAATTCAAAAGATTTATCTTACCCTGATGAACAGAATGATCTACCTGCAAAACTTGGTTTGGTTGGTTGTTTTATGGCATATCAACCTCAATGGGTTATTTAATACTGACAAGATTTTTAATGCTGGTAATATTTTTCCAAAATGTATTGCTGGTAATAATGTATTGCTGGTAATAATTTTTCTTCGAAAATTTATTGCTGGTATTAAAACCTATTTTTATATGTTTTGACCCCAGTTTGGGGGTTAACTATTTGCCCATAGCTGGGACCCTAACAGGTGCTTCCATGCTCCTCAAAACCACCTGATGAGTGGCCTTGCTGTCGGATGTAGTTTATTGTCTTACCCAGGACATGGATGAAGTTTATCATCATACCCAGGATGCCTGCAAAACTTGAAGTCAGAAGATAAGCCATTTGAATGTTTATTTATTAACTATTGTCAGTTTATCTTTTAAATATTGAGCAATTTATTTTTTTAATTCGATCACCTGAAACTGCAGTAATTTACTGGTTGACATGTTTTATTAGGTATAAATAATATTTATTATATATGAAACAAATGCTCTATCCCTGATACTGAACACTTTTCCACCCATAAATATAGCAAATTCATATTCATATATATATAAGACATTTTTTATGTTTATACATTCTTTTTATAGATACAAATATTAAAGTAAATGCTCTGTTTATAATAATTTAGACCGGTAAATGTTGTTTAATACTGTTTATTATAAACAAAGCATTTACTTAAATATTTGTATCTATAAAAAGAATGTATAAACATAAAAATGTCTTAATATATATATATATATATCAAAGTGTAGGAGAACGAAGAGTAGGATTACAGTGTTCGAAACATTAATTTAAAAATAGTGCTCAATACATAAAATAGTTTAGTAACACTGTAATTCCCTACCTGATGAGACATCTAAAAAAGGTTTTCCCTTTTTTTGACATTGAAACAAAAATGTACAAATCTGTAGTGGATATGTGCATGTTCTAATGTAACATTGCATTATATATATATATATATATATATATATAAAATTAAAAAAAAAAAAACATACTTCCAATCAGTTCCTCAATTTTGAGAATTCTCTCTGCATTAGGTCGTCCAAGTTTCTTAAAAAAGAAAAAAAAAAGCTCATGTAATTTTGTTGTTTTTCTATGAACATTTTTTTCAGAACTCATTACCAATGGTTAAATATTTTTATCAGTAACAAAATACATGAGGTTTCAGTGATAAATTTGAGAAATATTTATCTAATGCATGTATGTAGATGACAGATATTGATTGACTCCAGGCAAAAGAGGAAATCAGTTTGGTTAAAGGTTAGAGAGCTCTGTAAACTAAAAGGAATCCGTACTATACTAATCATTCTTCTGTAAGTGTCAAAACAAAAATGGAGTCAAGAGAGTAACAAAAAACTTTGCCAATTAAAAGAGCTTCCTATAATCATCCTATATGTCTTTTCTACACTGAAAATTGTTTTATGCCTTCAGAAATAAAGACTAGAATGGTTGCACTAAGGGTGGTGCATTTGAGTGGCTAAAGTGTATGACTGCAGAGAGAGACATTAGCAATTGTACCACTGAAGACAAGTTTATCAGCACAAATTCAACATAAGAATTCTGATTTCAAATATAATAAGACAGAAATATCAACAAGTAAATCCCATAGGTGATGATTTAAAAAATTGCCACAGTAAAGCAAAGGTTGAGCTTATAATAGTTATTCTTTGTTGAAATAGAGTAAAAAGTACAAGAGGACATTTTTTGATTATAATTTAGTGCACAAGCCATGATAAATTTTCAACAAATCTTTAAGAAAAAAAAAAAAATAAATAAAACTTACCTGATAAACATAAATGTGCTTGAAGTCAACAGCATTTTCTGTTTTATCCTAGAAAAGAATAAAAAAAACTAATAGAAATATCAGAAAATAAGAAATATGATCACTTTAAAAAAAGAAAAAGCTTTTCACAGTTCATGTATATGAGGTGTGGCTACTGAATACTGAGAGACAAATTCTCTACTTTTAACAAATAAAAACTTTTTCAATTCAATCTCAGGATTGTACTGTGAGATCCAAATTTTGTTACGCAAAATTCACTTGTGGTTTTCTTTTTAATCAAGAGTCAGAACATTTGGCACAACCTATGCACAAGCTTTTATCATGTTCAGATATTTGTGCAAAATTTGCCCCAATCTTTATTGATGATTTCTACACTCATTCTGATATTGATGTATTTGATTTAACATTCTCACTTGTAGTGAAAGAGATAATAGGGTACCCCAAAAATGGCTTGACGCTATTAAGAAAGAGGTAGAACCGGTAGGACATGTCTGTGTAACATCAGTGAGCAACCATAACTCAGATTTACTAAAATCTGTGCATTGCCAACAACGCGTGTTCGTTGGTCTTCAAAGTAGCACAGACGGGCGGATCAGAAAACTTGACTTCGCCCGCCTCTGTAATGTGTACACCACCCAGCTCCTTAATAACGTCCATCCCAAGGAGCAGATCAAAACCTAATAACGCGCTGTCCACGACCAACAGACTGACTGTGACGGGGTCACCGTTGTTGATACTGGACAGTTTGTTGATTTTTTAAGAATTAACAAACTGTCACTTTAACATCCCCTTGTGCCACTCTAACACAAACATGTATTCTGCTTTGTAAACTATAACTTTACTAAAATATTTGATAGTCATTTTGGTCACTTTCACCCAAAATTTCAAATTGTGATGTTGCTCAAATTTTGAAATGACCATTTTTATGACAGAAAAATGTCAACTTGGGCTTGCTGCTGGACATAGTTTAACGTCTTACCCAGGACACAGATGTAGTTTAACATCTTACCCAGGATGACAGGTTTAATGAAAAAGTCATTCAATGTTAAAGAAACAGCATAAAATTCAGATGGTAAAATGAACATTCCATGGTGTCTTAGGCTAACAAAAACAATATTGTGCAAGTGGGCCACATGAACGATGAAAACCAACATATCTGCATTAAATGTATTTGACTGATATAAGATCATGAACATGATTAGGAATAGATAGGTTTGCCTATAGTCCAGTTCACACTTCTCCACAGTCTTTTGAACAGGAGTAGAGGTTTATCCCTACTTTCCTTTTTAGAATTGGGTTTCTGGTTCCTTCAAAACTTTACTTCAACTCTATACTCCTAATGGTTGCCCATTCTTACACTAACACAACTTTACCTTGAGTGGCTCTTAGGCCGTGTATTATTAACCAGGCTAATAGATAAATAAAGGAAGATAATCTTAATTTCAAGACTATTTCAAGCAAAATTCAAATAGTTATCTCATTCTAGGACTATAACCAAATGGCTATTCCTAGGGACTATACATTTCAGATTTCTTACCATTCCAGTAATTGATGATAACATTGTAAATGAAACACTTACCGTTCCAAAAAGAACAACACCAACTAAGTCTGTTTCCCTTTGAATGATTTTGTTCTGGAGTGTTATTTGAACAGCCTTTAATGAAAAAAAATTTAAAAAAATAAAACAGTCAGTCAGCTAAGTAGAAAGTCAAACATTTAGTTTTCTATTTTTGGCATAAAGCTATCATATATACTTTCTATGATTCTTGATATCTAATGGCAATGTATTACAATATTAACATAACGCAATCAATAAAATGAATCATTAACGAAATAAATAAATCAACACATACAAGTGTATTCCACAAGGAATTCTAGAAATAATTTTTTAAAAGATAAAAGTGCCATCAGTGTTCCCATAGATCTATATAAAAAAAATTCCAGAACTTTTCAAGGACTTTTCCAGGACTATGTTAAGAAGTTTCAAGAACTGAAACTGGTGGGCTCTCTCTCACACACACACACGCACAAAATGAATGTTCACCAATTTGAAAAAAACAAACTTTGTGATTTATCTTTTAATAGTATGACAGATGAGATGTTCAAATAAAAGCTACAGCTGGTTCCAATAGTTCATATCACATGTATCAGTTGAAAATAGTGAAAAAATCCAAGTGTTGAAGGCTAAAACATAACTGAATGCAGACCTGGTTATGGTTACACATTTTGTGAAGCATTCTACAATTTCTACACTTGAAAATTTTGATATCTCTATGGATTTGTCCTTTGCAAATCTTCACATAGCATTGGACTTTGCAATAAGTGTGAAGTTCTGAGTTTGCTCAGTTTTCTCCGTATAGCTGTCAGCTGACTTGAGCAAATCTTGTGTGCAACTTTCAATCTTGTGTTTTTGGTCTTCAGTTCTTCAATTTCCATAAGCATGGATTTCTGTATTTACATTAGTCGGACTATTGTCCTCATCTTTGTCGCCATATTTGTCACAACGTTTCGGCCGTTGTACGCTCCGGCCTTCTTCAGGTGGTTGGAATTTCGAACCGAACCCTTTATTTCGATCGCTGGGGTAGACTGTTCTAATTCCACGTGCCATGTTTGATGGATGTCAGTTATCAGTTATCTCCTGCTAATTTTCCCTCTGAAAGTTCTCCACTGCCTTAACCAGGAATTGAACTCACCTTCTTTGGGTCTGTCACTGGATCTAACCAACGCCTTTATCCACTGTGCCATGTGTCCTTGTATACTGTACATAATACCTCATCTCAGAAATATAGACAAACTCTGCATGGATTTCTGTTTTTGTCCTTTTTTTTTTCTTATCAGCCTCAAGGTATTTGGTTGTAATGATGTTCTGGCATTAGAAGCAATGTAGAGAAGAGGCTTAGTCATGGGAACATTCCTAGCACCTCCAACTGTGGCCAAATAGTCTGTGATAATATGCTGTGCAACCAGAATCTGCTGTTTCATATTGACTGAGAAACCTCTCCGCACTGAGGCCTAGCCATGAGAGAGTAACAGCAATCCACAAACAACTTTCCAAAGTTTTTCATATTCTTTGTTGTTAGATAAAGAAGAGTAGAACAAAGTTTCAGATGGTCTTCATGCTTGCTGAAATTCTTTAAAACAATATTTCCAGCAGCTTCCTCCTTGAACTCTTTGTACCGACTGATGACTTGTTTTCTGTCCATCATGTGGGAAAGAAATCTGTGGCAATTTTTTTTCCACAAATGGATCCAGGGTTCTGACATGCAAGTGACCTTACAAGAGGGTATCTAAAGGGAGAATTTACTAGAACTTTCTTAATGATGGTGATGAACATTGTCTTTGTTGCAATTCTGCATGCAAACAGATGTTTTGTTGACATATTTATATTTTTGGATAAATTTTGCATCGCCATATCTGCCAGAAATCCACACTTGATCTTTGCAGCATCTTTATGCATGTTTGGGCTTGACAAAATTCTTACAAATTCATTCGATTTGGAAAATGTAATTATCTTTTTAGTGCGCTCTTCCTTTACAAATCTTAACAGTTTCATGATCATACTAAAAAGATCACCAGCAAGGAAAGGAAGCAACAGTTTATTGCTCTATTTTATTGGAAACAGTTCAATGTCTTTTGAAACAGACACAAAAATCTGCATTTTCACTGGAAATAAAACGTCATTTATGTTTGACAGCACCGCAGAGAAGGGGACATTTTTTTTTTTTTTTAAATTAAGTTTACAAATTTGATGACATCTGGTCAAATGTCTAGGAGTCATTCACATACTTGTAAATTTTCTAGCCATCTCTGGTGGAAATACAAAAGTAAAGGGACAGGGTTGCCAGATTGAACTTTTAATAGAAAGCCAAACAATAAAAGCCAAATAAGTTTTAATATATTTCATTTTTCCACACTTACAAAATGTAGAGATACAGGTCATTATTAGCCTGTAAACTTTAAAAACAATATATTTCTTATTTTTTCAAAGACACACTTTCTAACCTATCCTAAGACACTTCAAAGGCACATTTCCTATTCTATTATTCTTCTTGTCTACATTTTCTTTGAATCAAATTTGATTCTTGAACTTGTTACTTTTGGTAACAATTTAAACAAACATAGTTTACACATCGATACACATTGACATGGGTAAAGTATCTATTTTTTTCATTTTTTTCAGTATGAACTCTCCCACTGCCGACTAGAGATCAAAAAGACTTTTTACTTTTGAAACTGACATGTGAATAAAATTTCTTCAATTGTTCAAGTTTTAAAAAACACTGATAAATTTTTTGAGATTCTAGTAAAATGTATTTTATTAGTGTAAAATATTCTCCTTTCAACTACAAATTCACTGAGTGTGAATTAATTTATCTTTGACAGAAAAGTTTACTTATTTCTGATGTCTTTTATCTTTGAGTGAAGGCAGAAGACAGACCTTCATATTATTTCTCACCACCTAGATGAGAAAACACAGAAGTAACTATGAGATCATGAACTGGTGAAGGAAATAAACCACCGTCTGCAATAATTGCCAAAAAAACATTTTTCTTAAAGGAAAACTTTTAGCCAGATTTCTCACATTTGGCACTGACTTTCATGAATTGAGAAAAGGGGGATGTGTGTGCGCATCCCAATTTAGAAAATTCCAAGACTTTTCAAGGAGCTTTTGGGCTATTGCTGTTTTTCGAGGATTTTTCAAGGTTTCCAGCAACTGTACGAACCCTACATTTTTATATCCAGCAAATTTTCATGAACTATTTAAATGTTATAATTATATAATTCCTAAAGAGTGTAATTTATTAATGAAGATAACAAGAAGATCGTTTGTTTTTTTTACAGGGGTGTTTAAAATTACAATTATAATTTCCTTAATATAAAATTAATATTGTGAAAATTTATATTTTTATTTGTTTCTTTAAATTTTTTTTTTACACTGAATCTACATAAATTGATTTATCTGTATAAAAAAAAATAAAAAAAAAAAATAAAAAAAAATAACCAGAAAGTTATTTCAAATAAAGGCAATATAATAATTTTAAAAGGTATTTTCTATGTAAGCAATCTTTAAAATAGAGGACATTATATTTACTGGCAAAAGATGCAAGTGAATGAGCCTGAAACTTTAAGGAATCATTTCTGAATGTTCAGGTGATCAGTACAGCTGGAATGGTTCCCTCCAAAGAGTGAGTAGAAAGATAGTGTTGCGATTGAGTACAATGTCTAAAGCTAGCAAATGTTATTTTTAATGATTTAACAAATGAAGGAAACATTTGCTTATTTTTTATCCTCATTTATTTTTATAACACATTTCTCCCCTGTGAAACTAAAGGAATCCACCTATTCTGATTTTTGTTCTTCATTCATTCAAATTTGTTTTCATGACCATTTTGTCCAGTGTAGTCCTTGTGATGAAAAGTTGAAATTTACATGCATTAACCGAATAAAGGATTAGTCAATTAGATTTTAGAAAAACCCTTCACAATCCTCATGCTGACTAAGATCAGTCTTGTAATATCTGCAATATTAAGATGGAATAGCACCCTCAAAAAAAAAAAAAAAAAAAGAATCCCTTACCTTCATGCACGTTTTAAAATGGTTTTCATCATTATCGTTTTTGGGGAACATAGTTTCACTGCAGTCCACAAGGAATATAACACCATCTTTAGAGGCATATTGAAACTATAATAAAAAGAGAAAAAGAAAATCTTCAAAGTGTGTGCGTGCATGTATGTATGTATGTATGTATATATATATATATATATATATACACACACACACATAGATAGTGTTCAAAAAATGTTGAGAATAGCTTCAAACAAATTTTATTAAAGATCTACAAATTTTACAATTTAAAAAAAATTTTTTAATTTATTACTTAAAAAAAACATGGACAAAGCTCCAAATTGCTGAGTATTTACATTTTTATACAATACTAACCATCCTGCTACTACAATATTGCTTATGTAAAGCTGTGTATAGATATTTACTTAGTCTAGCATAGGGTCAACTGAGAAGAGCCTGCCTGCCTCTGCAGGGTTTATTACAATTTTGGTAACACGTTAGTTTCAAAGTTAACATTCTAAGCTTCATTTTCATATATTTTATATTTTTTAATTTTAATAAGAAGTTTGTAAACAATTCAAATGAAAAGTTTGATCATAAGATTCAAATGCTTCTTGTAAAAAATAAAAACAGAAAATATATCATTAAAACGCTCATTTAATAATCTATGAAATTAAATCAAAATCAAATATGAAATGATAGCTCCATTTTGCACGTGTACAATTGTGTGTAACCATGTGTGACTCGCTTGGTCATCATTTAAACTCCATGCGACAGTCAATACACAACGTCAACACGGACACCCAAGAATCGACCAGTATGTTTTCTATGGACAAAATTTTCAAGGAAATTGGTAAGAATTTATATTTAAATATTAATTTTGTATATGTAAAGTGTATATGGGATTTAAAAACCGTTTTTGTCATAAAAAATATGAAACAAAAATCAATTTGTTTACTTTATGCTCAGATATCACAAAAAAAACAAAAAAACGTAGGACTTATTGATTGAAAAATATTCATATTAAAAGAATGAGATAAAAAAACATTCTACAAAAAAATTCTACAATGTCTTTAATGTTTTTGCAGTATTCTCATAATAATTATCAGCATTTCAGTTACCAAGTAACATTTTGTTTAAAGTTACCCCTTCAAACAATTTTCTTACTTTTTAAATTATCTAATGAATGGATTTTAGTTACGATTTATTGCTATCTAGATACAAATTTATGATTTAATATTCATTTTCCTAATTTATTATTATTTCTTAGTAATATTTATTTCATATGGATTATGATTGTTTATTTTATTCTAAAATATTTTAATGTGTCAGTTTTAAGGATCACTGTGGAAATAGGTTTTTTGAGAAAATATTTTAGTGTTTCCTTATTTGTTACTCAGGTGTATGGATGACTCTAAATTTATATTTATCCCTGATTGTATTTAGTGCACTTTTTTATGAACTGCAAATAAACTCAAATTCAATAAGAAAACATAGACAATAATTTGTAGATGACTACTAAGTAGTACTTTGACAAAATGGGATAGGATTATAAATTCATTTTTTTTCTTTTTGAAGATGACTATGTACAGAATCAGTTATAACGTTGTTTTATGACAAAAGGACGTGGAAGGAAGATGTCTTTGCCTAAAGTGGAATGTTCCAAGAAGGTGCTGCTTCAAATATATTCATTGAAAGAGAAGTATCAGGAAACCTGGGATTCTGCTATTACTTGGCTACATAAATTGTTCCCAATCTTTCCTAAGAACAGATGGATACATCTTATTGAGAAAGTTGTAGCAGAAGTTCAGAGTTGCCCAAAAGTGGATCATCCTGCATTGTACCATGAAGTAACAAATTTGGGATTCATAGGTGAAAGATGTGAGAGTGTTGGATTGACTCTCAGTGTTTTGTCGGATCCAACGCTGGGTCGTAAGCTTTTATGTGCGGAAGTAACAAATGGGCTCATACTTGAACTATATAAACTGGATACGCCAGCAAAGATATACTAGTCAGACTAGAAGAACTTGGGTATTGCCTGAATTAGATTATTTGGAGAGATTGTATGAAGAGTATACCAAGACTTACTTTTTACTACTCAGTGAAGAGGTATCCCAACACCCAGACCACCATTACTGAAAATTTCCAAATAAACTTTATTTGATTAATTTTATGTCTGTGTTGTTTATTTTTATGTGCATAATGTGAGAGGAACATTACAGTTTTAAAAATTGAGACAATTTGGTAATTTCATACCGCTTACGTAGTGATCGGAACTAACATGTGTCAGAACTTCAACCTTTTGATCAAATTGTGACAGATAAAATATTTTTATTTTAATGATTTCAGTTACAAATTTAGTGGTTGAATACCACTTCATGATATGGTGAGTTTCCTGTTGTTTTTTTATGTTCATTAGTGGGTTAAGCTTCTCTCTCTCTCTCTACAGTCCAGAAATTGTACATGTTGAGTCAGGACTGTACTTGTTCAGCATCTGCTCCATATACATTCTAATCTGTTGATTTTAGGTCATTTTAACCATGATAAAGAGCACCCCCAGAAATGGCTAGATATGAATTTTGGTGTTTCTAGTGCAAGAAGTATTCATTTTATGACACAATTCAAGCAAGTCTAAAATTGGCCTTTCAAATACGTTGTGACAAAGGGTTAAAAAGCAATTTTTTTCAATTTTGAAGTGGAATAATCCAGAATATATCGATTTTATCACTCCCCGCAAAATTAGGCATATTACTGGTATAGTCATAATGTGATATTTGAAATTTTGCATGAATGTGGGTCTTATTTCCAGTTTTATGAAATGTCAAACCTCAGGTTATGAGTTGTTTGCACGTCGTTGCAGAGGGTTTGATTTATAAAATTTGCATATTCAGACTGAATTTAAGAAATATGCAGTGATATTATCTGTAATTTCATTATTAATTTCTTTGTTGTGTACCTAACAAGCTAGTATAATTTTAACTGTTGTTCTTAATTGCTTTTTAAAATATAGGAGTTCAAATATGGTATTTTGTCCTAATTCATAATAGACAAAAAAATGGCTGTCGAGCACATGTGTAAAAATAAAAATAAATCTGCCAAAATTAAACGGTTTGAGATATTTTGATGAAATAAAAACTGCTAAGTTTCTTTAATCATGTAGATTAAGAAGATGCAATCAGATAACACCTAGTACGTGTTTGAAATTTTCATCTTTGATACCTAGTTCAACATTTCTCGAGTGGTTATCAATTATGAAAAGTTTCTGAAGAAACTAGAAGATACAACAGACTAAATAATATGGTTATAACAAGATGAAAATATACTCTGAGCAAATCAGTGTCCTCATCTCCAAAGTTCAGACAAAAATTGAAAGTGTTAGAAGTTGTATAAATACATTTAAAGTGTAAATGAGTATAGGTTTTTATGTTCAGGTCTTCCATGAACAATAAACAAAAATTTGTTAAATTAATGAGAGAGTATTTTGATTTGAAGAACACTTTGAGATTACAAGTGTTGCACTAATAAACAACACAGGGTATTTGAAGACATTCATTCTTATTTGCATCTCTACAAGTTTATAAACACACACAATTATTTATTTTTGTAGGTGTGCATTAAAAAAAAAAAGGTGTGAAATATAAAAAAGAAAGAAAACTTACAGGTTCCTGATTTTCATCATCCTCATTTTCATCGCTGGATTCATTCCAAAATCCTCGAGAATCCATTATAACTAGACATTTAAGAAATCAGAAAACTTTAGAAATTGGTATAAACAATTATTCAGTAAGAAAAGACAATTTTTACATACAAGTCAGTCAAATCAAATTGTCCCAAGATCTACTACTTGATTGTTAAGATACAATACTGGATGATGGCATCTGTTGGATGACTTCATGCTACTCAGCTTCTCTAACATCTGAATGTTCTTATCTCATTATTTAACACTGAAGCTATCATCCATTTAGATAAAATATTAAAAGAGAAACTGATGAAATATAGAACTTTATTAATGCAATAATGAATATTAATAACTTCAATAAGAAATTGGAAAATATTAGGGAAATTTGTAAACAGCTCAAACCCAACAGTTATGCTAAACACTGTTCAGTCATTGAAAAAGAGGAAAGAAATTGTTTTGTTTTTAAGCCAGAATGTATAATCAAACTCTGGTTAGAAAATATAAATGTATATTGATTTACATAAACAATAAGAATTATTACTTGCTATGTCTAATATCTTTCTCACAATCTATTTATAAACTGTCTCTGACTTATGATTACTCAACTGACACTATTTCAGTTATGTTTCTTTTTATTAAAATTTTAATTTCCATCAGTATTCAATGAGTAAATACTGAATGTTTCATTAAATTCTATTAATTAATAGAATTTTAAAAGGCAAGTTTATTTTGTCACTGAAATTTTCCAACTGATTTTTTAAAAACATAGAATTGTCTCTATATAAAGGGAAAAGTTACTTTAAATTAGATTTTTCCGATTCTTCAAATGATATTAATTTCATAAAAATTGATTAAATATGTGATTGAATAATTTTGTTGTCGAGGGATGTCCAATTTTTGTTTAATTTCAGTCAAGGAAGATGGCCCTACTGAAATGTATGCTTTATATGATAAAAGTAATTATTTTGAGCAAATATGGATTAAATTGGACAGAATGTAAGGAACAAATAGGAAAACATTTATATATTTTGCTTTTATTTTAGGTTCATCAGAAAATTTTGGGAAATAAGTTATGGAAGAGAATGTTTTGGAATTTTGAATTCTGTGCTGTTTGTTTTCATTGGCCAGATAGATCTCCTGTTTATGTCTTGTAGCATTAGTGTGTGTATGTGTGTTAATACTGGTGAGCATTTTTTGTCTGGTAGCATATGTGTATGTTTAATTCCTGAAGATAATAGTAGGGAAAAATGCTAATGTGTTGCAAATTTCTAATTGGCCTTACGGTTGCTAACAGTATCAGTGCATGTTGACTTTGGATTAAAATGTTATTAATTTTGGAGTGAATTTTATTGTAGATGAAAAAATTTAGGTATGTAATGAAGATAGGGATATGACTGGTTGAATTCTATTATTCTTCCGTCAATTTTGATTTTATTGGGACATATTTGGTGTGTGTTGGTGAATAAGTGTCTTAACACATTTTTCAGTATGATAATTGGTTAATTTCATTTAAATAGTTTTTCTTACAAAAATATCAATATTTTTTTAAAAAATTTGGTAATTTATCATTTATTTTAACCATAAAGAATTAAAATATTCAAGAACAAAAATTTATGTCTATCTCTATACAATTAAAATGCATTCAACTTACAATTTTATTTTCTGTCTCTGAGTTGTATGTCAGGGGCTTTCTGTATATATTTGTCTGCCAAAAATTTACTATGAATTTATTTTCTGTTGGCTGTTACTGTCTAGGCATGTAAGGCAATTATGGGAGAGTAGTTGGCCAAAGGATTCACTCTTTTCCCTCAACCATTTATACAATCAGAGAAGAGCATATAAAGTGGGTTTGCACCTTTTCAAGACATTAGTATAAGCAACCATATCTGAAATTCATAGTCACTTCACCAATTCCGTTTTCTATAAAAGTAACCACTGTTGCTCTACAAGTGCTACAAGTACTCTGTAACTCAGAACTATTTACTGCATGGCCAGATCATTGGCAACTAAACTGGTTCCCCTGCCAGGCTTTTTGGGTAAGAAGGGTAGCTAGATATCCAGTAGGATTAAAAACAAGACCTGTCAAAGAGTGGATGAACCTTCTTGTAAAGTCAATTGCTATCTAGCACAAAGTGGTACACTGGGCTCTTTAGCTAAGTAAGCAGTCAGTAGTGCTATGACACAGCATCACTCAGCACCATTTTGCTGGTTCATCCTGCAACAATCTGATGACCACCCCACCAGAGTCATCTACCACTTTGTTTGCCATCAGCAAACTGGAGGTGGTCTCACAACAGACCACACAGCTGTTGGAAAGACATCACCCACCAGGATCTCCAGCAGATCAATCTGGCACTCGAGGATATTCTGATGCTCTGCCAAGACTTTGAGGAACAAGGTGACTCTCCTTGAGTCAACACTTTCATGGCATGAGATGCAGCAGCATAACTGTGTGAAGGGATTCTTAGACTGAAGTCAACAGCCAGAGTGGAGTGTTCTCCTCAATGGAATCAATGGCAAAGGTGAGGGATGGGCTGTGCCAAGTCTACTTGCCCAAGAATCACTACTCTCAAGTTTTCAACCCAGATAGGTGAAAGGAACTGGTCAGACTGTGCAGTGACCCTACAACCACACCCAGTTATGAGACTGAGGCTGATAATCTACAATTATATTGTTCCATACCACACGTTTACTTTATAAATGCAATGAGTTTTTCCTATTTAACTAAATGTTTGTTAAACATTATTGTATTAACTTTTTTCATCAATGGACAATTTAAACACACTGCTAGTTTTTAAGTTAAATAAATAAACTGATAAACTACAAGGTGTAAAATTTCAATCCTGAAACCTGGTAGAAATAACTCATAATTTTAAAAATATTTATGCCACAGCAAACAATCTTTCGTTTTGTCACTATAGTGGAAAATTCACCATAAAAAAAAAACTCCTAATATTTGGGGTTAAAATAGATTTTGAAACTACACCACAGCTTTGATCTTGGTTTGCTTAACAGAGTACACTACAGTAAAAAAAATTTACATCAACATAGACGTGTAGAGATCATTTAATTCCAATATATAGCAAATAACATTGAACCTTGTACAATGACCAGTTTTTTTTTAATTTATTAAGTACTATTTCTGAAAAAATATAATTTAGGATTCTATAAATAATTTTTCTTAAATTAGTCTTTGAAATTATTTCTTGCAAAAAAAAAAAAAAAAAATCAAGGTTTTGGATTGTTCGCTAGCTATTCAATTATGAGACAGTCTGGGTAAGTTATAGCTTAAATGATTGAAAGGTTATTGAATTCATTTTTTTTTCTGCCAGACAACGAAAAAAAAAAAAACCCAAAACGTTACAATTAATTTATTAAGTTCATAGGAATGAATAACTGGAAGGTGACTGGTCACAAAACCGTAAGAAAATGAATTGAAAATACAGCCCCGTCTGTTTTTTAAGTTTTCTTCAGACTTTTTTTTTTTTTTTTTAAATGAAACGAAGTAACCTTGAGAGTTTTTAGAGAGACTGCAGGTAAATTTAGAAAAAAAGTTTACTTTTTAGTTACATAATAACTAAAGTAAACTAGATGAAATCATTTCATTCAACTTCATCTGTACAAATTTAAAAAAAAAAAAAAAAAAAAGGGTAGAATTTATTGAATAAATTAAAAAAAGTTTCTAAATTCAAGAATAAGGGACGGAAAACCAAGGACCATCTACAAAGTGTTAAAAATGCTGTTTTTGTTTGCGTATATATAAAAAAAATTATCTTATTTCCTTGCTTTCACGAAACGATACAAAAACGGTAAAGTTTTAAAACTAAAGAAAGAGTCAATAAAAGAAGACATCAATAAAAGCGCGGGTAAATGTTGCTTTCTTAAAAACAAGTGAAAAACAACAAACTAACGAACCAAAACCATTTTAAAAACAATGAATATAATCGGTAAAAGATTTTATTTATTTATTACTGTATTTATAAATAAATATACTCGAAAGTTGAACTTTATAAAACTGCTTACAATATTGAATAGTTTTTTTTTTTTTCTTAAATTGAGTTTTTAACTTAATGAACCAAATCGGACCAGAGATATTTTCACGCTGTTATTACTTTGAAAATTCATTTTGATTTCCCGAATTTGAACAAATAATTAAGTTAAAAATAAAAAAAAGAAACAATTTTGGAAAAATAAACAAGCATTAAATAAAGAAAATCATTAGTGACTAGGTTTGCTAAATCTTTTTAAGGTTCATGTAAATATGCAAAAATGATTTAAAAAGTAAATAAATAAACACTAAGTCTTATGTAAACAATCCATGTGTTAATATGGCAACGCTTTTAATTTAAAACAATCGCCAACAAGATACATTTTTTATAACAAAGTTTAAATTTAGATGAAGTACTGGATATTGTTTTTACTTTTTAAAACTTATTTTAATTTTTTATTTTTCAATTTAAATTTTAACTCATTTATTTCGCTCATCTAAAAATTAAAAAAAAAACTATAAAAAAGGTGAAACATGGCTGTTATCGGTTGTTAAATAAACAAAAATAGAACAATATTTTTCAGTTCAAAATACAAGAAATTGTCTTTCTCTGAGGGAGACAGCCGCCATGACAAAGAAAAAGTGAAGAAACGATGACATTGAATGGACTACAACAGGTTTTAAAAAATTATTACTTGTATTTATGACATTACTGTCGTCAAAAAAAAAAAAAAGCCAGGAAAAGCTCGTTTAAACAAAGTAAAACAATCTAGGGTTACTTGGTGAAATAAAGACAATCACCTTCTTATGACAAAAAATGCAGGGCAAACACGTTGTCTTTGTTGGTGAACTGACTTTAAAACTAAATGTTTAATTTCGTTTCGTTTCGTTCCGGTCCAGTCCGGTCCGGTCCTTACCAGATTTTAAGGCGCCTAAACAACCCGACTATTCAGGTGCAGCAGAATTCTAATGACTATACGTAACACTATAATAATTATTATAAGACTACACACTATACAGTTGTTGACTGGATTTTTTTTAATTTAATTTTTTGAATT